CTCATGAAGCTAGTAGAGAAGAATGATGAGCTAGAGGAAGAGAATGAGAAACAAGAGCAATCACTTTAAAATCAAGAAAAGTTTCTCATCTCCAAATTGCAAGAGCTAAAGGCCATAAATGAGAGGTATGAAAACTTATCAGTTGAGCATGCTTTAGTTACTAACTCCTCTTCTAGTGTTTCACAACTAGAGAAGGAAAACTTTGAGCTCAAGGCAAAATTAGATGAACTCTCAAGCAAATATAATGTGCTACAAGCAAACTATGTTCATCTCAAGTGCTCTCATGAAGAATTAGTAGAATCAGGCATCATGCTTGAGGTGGCTCATGAGGTTGTGATTACAACGGTAAAATTATCTCAACCTTCCACTCACACACTCGTACGCAATCTCAATTGAATATTTCTTGTTCTAATGAGTGTGCTTCTCAAGCAAGCCAATCTTCGATTGAGCAAGAATTTATAGAAAATGTAGAGCTTAAGGAAGAAGTGGAAAGGCTAAGAAATGATGTGATTCGATTGAAGGGTAAGGACTCTGGTTGCCTGGCTGGCGATCATGCCTGGGGCGCGTTTCACCGCTCCCCTCGATGGTTCGGCCGAGATCCGTGTCGCCTGCCCTTATCGTTGCCCGGTGGATGTCATCATCATGTCGGGCCTGATGTCGGTTGCTAATGACGCTGTGAGCGTCTTGGTGTGGACTAGGTCGTTCGCGTACCGGCAGTCGGTGAAGAGCAGGCACCAAGTTGGACCGCGGCGTGGCCGCTGCCTCCTGAGCCACACTTGGTGGCTGTAGCAGCGAGCGGATGGAGCGATCTGTCTGGCGCATCCCCACTCCCCCGGTGGGGAGAGAGGGCGCGTGTCGGAGTCGCGATGTGGAGCTTTCCGCCTATTGAACGGCGGCGGCTTCTACCAGCACCCGGAGGTTCCAGTAGACCTCCCGCTTCTGGGGTCGACGGGCTCGGGAACGCCGCGCAGAAGCATTGCCGCAGCAGCAATGTTCTGGCTAGCCCGAGCGAACTATGGGGGATCGTTCCCCTCGTTCATGATGTCGTGTTGGACCTGGCGGGTGTGACCCCGGGCGCCACCCACCGGGCCATGCGCATGGGGTGCAATGTGCTGTACCGAGCGCACCGGTGCAGGCGGCGACTGGTTTTGCCACCGTTGTCGTAGTTCCTCTGCGTGCACTCGCGCAAACACGAGGGCCCCCGCACGTGGGTCCGGAGGGGTGTGAGTCTACATAAACTCCGCAACGATCGGCGGCTGTCCTGGAGCGTCCGCCATAGCGCACTCCCGGGACGGACGGTGGCTAGGTGCCACATCGCCGATGCTGGAGCCGTCGTTCTCACCCTCGTCATCCGGGAGTTCATGGAAAGTGGTAGGAGCATAGCTCGCCATTCTCACGAATTCGGACATGAGAGGGGATGGCGGCAGCGTCCTTCAGAGCCCCCAAGCGCACGCATCTGCGGGGGACGCGAGGCCGTAGGGGAACCGGTCATACGGTGTCTGCGGTGCGGTCAATAAGGTCCCTCCGGATAATCGGTGGGAGATAGTAAATAGAGAGTAAATAACAGTATGCATATTACTCACAGCGGGGTTTGAGCAGAGAGTTTGCTCGGAATAAAGCACAGATGCCTTGTTGTTGAAGTCATCGTGTGTCCCGAAGTCGATGGAGGGCGCCCCTCCGACGGGTGCCAGAACGAGTGCCTCCTCGCGGAGGCGTAATACCCCGAGCCGGTCGGCGACGAAGTCCAGGCTTACAAAGAGGAAGGCCTACGACGGCTCGGAGACGGGTGGAACCCACATCCCAACAGGTGGGAGTGCGGGAAACTCTAGTGAGCCAAAGCAAATCGTATCGCCTGAGCCCGCCATGGCGAAGGTGGCGGAAAAGTGGGCCATCTGATGACAAAAAAGTGTTGAACGTACAACGTCTTCCCCACGGGCGCCGCCAACTGTCGGTCTCAGAAAGTGACCAACAAGTAAATATTTGTAGTTTTGTCATACGTTGTGATCAGAGGTGGCCTAGCACTCAATGACACAGGGTTTATACTGGTTCAGGCAACGTGCTCTACGTCCAGTTTGAGTCGGTTGGTGACTTTATTCCTGAGCCTAGGTGCTCAAAGTTTGAAGTGGGGTTACAAACGAGAAGGAGAAAGATGGGGGGTACAAGAGGTCCGGTCGGACTCCGGTCGGAAGGGCCGAGAATGACAAGAGCTCTGCTATGAACTAAGTGTTCGAGCGTGTGCTCGTGGTTTGAACCTGATGGTTCTGCTGTTGTGTGCTAGTGAACTTGATCGATCTAATAAATCTAGAATGACTTGAATCTCTCTCTATGTTGAGAGAGAGAGCGCATCCCCTTTTATAGATGAAGGGGATGGCCTTACAAGTGAGAGGGAGAGAGTACGTATGCTTCTAAGCCTTGCTGCCCACGTCGACGGATACATGATGATGGTAGGCGCCCACAACACTGTTGGATGTCAGATGCACATGGGAGGTTGCGTCGTCTTGTTCGAGTATGGCAGATGTCGGTACCTGCTATACTGTTGATGCCCAGAAGCATGTGAGGAGTTTTACTATGTTCACTCGGTACGGTAAATGCCGGCGCCCACAATATTGTCGATGCCCAGAGGCATGTGGGGGGAGCCTTACCGTATGGGAGTTAATGGCGCCCACAATACTGTAGGGAAAATATCGGCGCCTACAACACTGTTTGGGCTCTGTTGTGCTAGGGAGGTTGTAGAGTACTGTTTCTGCAGGTGTACAGGGTACGGTCCCTGGTATCGTGGTCTGACTTGTGCGCCCTGCCTTGCTCTCTCCGTTCGTTTCCTGGTCCTTTCCGAGCGGGTGTCCCCGGACGGTTGGTCCCAGTCGACTCTGATCGTGCCAGTCGGAGAAGAGCCGTGAGCAGGGGTTTGGCACATCCCCGATCGGAGACGTGGGTCGGAGTCGAAAGTAGTGCCTTGGCCAGGCCTTCCGGTCGGAGAGGCCGTCCGGAGGCGGGCTAGAGACCGAAGCAAGTGCTCTAGTCGGAGAGGTGGGCCGGAATTGGAAAGCGGGCGCTGTTCTTCCTCGGCCAGGCCTCCCGGTCGGAGATTCGATCGCCCCTTTGGCCTGTCATTTAGGTACTTGGGCCGGCCCATGAGTTGTGCGTTTGTCTGCTTGGACCGAACCTTTGTTGGGATGCCAGTCTGCGAGGGAACCCGGGTTTAAGAACCCGACATTATTAATTAGTAACTTATTAGTGAGATGATTAGTGTAGTTTATTGTTATTTAGCAAACACCATATCAACATTAGTGTTGACTATGGATAATTATCCTATTTTGTTGTTAATTAGTGCTTACTAGTGGAATATTAATGATAATTAATATTTCATGTTATAAGTTAATAATTAACATGATAAGGCCAACATTGATTGCCCATTGATTATCATCTGCTTGTTATTATTTGAAGTTAATAGATATAAGTAGTTGACAATCTCATCACATTTATTCTCATCCATCTTTTTTAGGGTATTCTCATCCATCTAAACAAAAAAAAAATTGGCTTATCCATGATTCCATCCGTAAAATCATGGACCCGCAGCGTTCACCAACCTAGGTAGCCTCTGATCCAAACACACTCTAAGCATGTCACAACTGATCCATATATCAATTTCATTAAGATGTGGCTGGCAGCTTGAGATCATGATGGGCTCAGAGTTCTTAGTGACCCTAAAAAGTACAAAAGAGATTGACTACGTACAAAACAAGGGGAGGGGCAATTAGACAAGCCTTTGTTTACTACTTCCATGTTCAATTTAGCTGCACATCACCCATACTTAATGTAATAATGTGCATGATTCTTGAGAATCAAAAGAAAAGGCAGAGAAAGAGAGAAGCTGCAACAATGCATTTAGTACATGACTCGCAAGTCACAAGCTTGCCTTTTCAAAGTGAAAATCGATCTATACAATGGCATGACTTGATGCTCCAACTTTATCTATGTGAGAAGTCTAATATTCCCTCCATCCAAAAAAATTAAAATAATGTTCAGTCAAATGATTATATAAAAATATACTAATATTTTTAACCAAATAAGTTTCATTAGATTTGTTATAAAATATTATTTTTATGATTTAGAGTCATATATATACGTTGATAATATTTATACAAATTTAAGACAATTTGATTCTAATAAGATCTAAAATTATATTTTGAGTAGAAGGTAACATATCCCTGTAGCAAAACAACCAGAAAAGAGGCAGATTAAGGCTTTATTTAGTTCCTCCTCCTAAAGTTTAGTCTCTATCCCATCGGATGTTTCGATACATGCATGGAGTATTAAATATAGACTAAAAAACTAATTGCACAGATTGCAATTAATTTGCGAGATGATTTTGTTAAGTCTAATTAGTCCATGATTTAATAATGTGGTGCTACAGTAAATATATGCTAATGATGGATTAATTATGCTTAATAATTTCATCTCCCGGAGCACTGAGTACTTCTGTAATTTATTTTATTATTACTATCCGAACACTCTCATGTGACACCCGATGTGACACCCCTAAATTTTAGTCCTGGATTTAAACAAGGCCTAAAGTCAGCGAGTCATTTCGTTGACATCAAATCTAAAAGGGAGTAGAAGTACCTTTCGATGCTGCATTGCTGCTCCTGCTCACAAATCAAGGGCCCGTTTAGTTCGCCCGAATTCGGGCGAGGAATCCAGAATTGCACAGTGTTTCGGCCTTCTTGAACTAAACAGGCCTGCAAACTTTGGACCGGCCAAATTCGGCCGATATTGTGTGGACGACCGCCCCCATCCTCTGTCGCTCATACACACTCCTCAGCCGCACTCCCAAACCCTAGCGCCGGCTCCCTCTCCCGCAGCGCCACTCTCCCTCTCCCCCGCCGCTCCTCTCGCCGCCTCCGCTCGAATCCACCGTTCCACCGCCAGATCCACCCCATTGTCGGTCGGATCCACCGCGTCCGGTACTGGATCGACCGTGTTTGACCCCGTCGTCGGCGATGGACGGCTTCAACGGCGAAGGGAACGGCTCGGAGTTCAACGTCGGCGCATCCGGTAATGGCTCCGAGTTCGACGTCGCCAGATACAACAACGTCTCCGACTACTACGACGCCCGCCGCACAAGGAACCTCTTCTCCCTGGAGCCGCCGGGCTCCGGATCCGGTGCCTACAACTCGTACACATCCGTGCCGCATCCACTCTCGTCGTCAACCATCCCGTCCCCAGGCCAGCTGCGTATGTCTGGGCTCAACGTCAACGCAAGCGAAGGTTGGCCACACATCGACGCCTACGAAGGCATCCTTCGCTCCGGCGACCAAGCGGGCGGAATCGGCAGCAGCCTGGGCCCCCCTCCCGTCCACATGCCTGCCAGCAGCGGTGAGGTGCACACGGCTCTCATGCATCGTCAGCGCCGACCTGCATCCAGGTTGCGCGGTGCCCGTCGTCGCGGCGCGGGTCATGCAGTGGCCGACGACAACAACCCTCCCGTCTCGGTACATCTCGCTTCCCATTTGCACGTTTCGAATCGAAGTTCTGCCTTTGTGTTTACATTATTCCCTGTCGTGTTCCATGCCTCGATTTGTAATGCTTAGTTTCATACGAGGTATTGTTCATGCATTGCTTGTCCATTAAAATGTCGACAGAATGAGATAACCAGGGCAAAGTGGAACAAAGATGATACTAAGAAGTTTTGTGAGATTTACTGCACCCAAATTGATTTGGGTAACTGCAAGAATGGCAACATGACCAAATGGGGGTCGAAAGATGTCCAGGACAGGTTTCGAGCTGCGACTGGTAAGCTTCATGACAGTGAGCAGTTCGGCCATAAGTACAGACAGTTGAAATAGCTTTGGCTTTTCATCGAGGACCTTCGGCACAAGGCCACAGGCTTGGGTAGAAGAGAAGATGGCTCTGTGGTTGCTTCTGACAAGTGGTGGGAAGACCATTGCAAGGTTCATGAGCTTTGTACTCATCTATTGTTGCTCTGTGGTTCCCATCTATTGTTGATTCTGACAGTACGTGGGTTGTTGTTTGCACTGTAGGGGAAGCAAGACTGGCTGGAACTCAAAGATGGATGGCCAAAATACATTGATGAACTGGACCGCATGTTCACCGGAGTTGCCGTGAACGGAGAAACCTCATTTGTTCCTAGGGTGAGCCGCCGCCTTCACTACGTTAGCAGCGGCGAAGAAGAAGATCATGACCAGGTCACCCCTCTGAGCTGTGCGACCCCAGTCAGCTCTGGAAGCAAGAGGAGCAGCAGCACTCGCAGCAGTGCATCATCTCCCAGCAAGAAGTCCAAGAGCGCAGCTGTTCGGTCCATGGATGCCAACATGAGCAGGTTCAACTCCAGTTATGAGATCAGGACCGTAATGATGCAAAACTGCTGGAAGGAGAGACAGCAGCAGGTTGCGGCTCTTGATGAGGAGAAGAACATCAAGAAACAAGAACAGAAATTGGTTGCGGCTACAGCAAGAGAGGTTGGGGCGCACAAGATACAAGGGCTGTGGGTTGGTGTGATCAATATCTGCAAAGATGACGATGCCAGGAATGTCTTCCTCGAAACACCCGTGGAAGCAAGGCTTGAAGTCATTAAGCACTATGCTGGGGTCAGAAACTAGAACCATCTATCCATGCATTTCACCTATATGTGACTGTAGTTGGCATGATGAACTATGTCTTTTGTGTGTGTAGATCATTAGTCCTATATGAACTATGTCTTTTATGTGCGAGGTTGTGATGATGAACAATGTCATTAAGCCCTTAATTTGCAGCATGGTTGTTAAACTAAGTTCTCAAGCTCATTTTTGTTTTTATATTTATTCCCTGTGTGAGGTCATGGTATGTTTGAATTGAGGTAGCCTTGCATGAGTATAGTGGGACCGCAACCGTTTTTTACTGACTGTCTGTGTGTTCTATTACAATGGCCAGGAAGTTGTTGATCAAGTTGATGCTCAATTGGACGATGACGACGACTGGTGGGAGGAGTTTTGGAATATGCTGCTAGAAGATGATGATGAAGCAACATTTATCTATGGTACGTATGACTACGCTATACATCTGGACAAGTATTGCAATAGAGCTGCGTATAGGAACCCAGCTTATACTGGTGAGGAATGGGTACAAAACAAGCTTGCCAATGAAACTGCCTGCTACAACATGTTTAGAATGACTCCCCAAATGTTTTATAGTCTGCATAGTTTGTTGACTACAAACTATGGCCTCACATCCTCAACCAAGTGTACCTCTATTGAGGCTCTAGCAATGTTCCTTTGGATACTTGGGGCTCCACAATCAGTTAGGCAAGCAGAGGACAGATTTGAGAGATCACTAGGCACTGTGCACAACCTTTTTTACAAAGTCCTCAGCAGTGTGTTAGACCTATCTGCAGACATCATTAAACCTAGGGACCCAGATTTTACAACAATGCATCCTAGGGTCCAGAATGTTAGGTTCTATCCTGAATTCAAGGGTTGCATAGGGGCAATAGATGGCACTCACATTCCTGTGGTCGTGCCAAGTGATAAGTTTATGCAGCACATGTGTCGGAAGGGCAAGACATCCCAGAATGTCATGGCCGTTTGTGACTTTGACATGGTCTTTACTTTTGTCCTTGCTGGCTGGCCTGGATCAGTGCATGACATGAGAGTGTTAGATGATGCACTCACAAAATACAGAGATTTCTTTCCTAAGGCGCCTAGAGGTACACACGTTGCTGCTAGTTCAATACTGTTTTCTAATTGAAGCTTGTTAAACTTACAGGTACTTACTGCTGTAGAGAAGTACTACCTGGTGGACTCGGGGTATGCAAACCGCCTCGGGTTTCTGTCTCCTTACCGGCAGACCAAGTATCACATCCAAGACTTTCAAAACGCCCCCGAACCACAAGGTATTAAGGAGATATTCAATTATGCGCATTCATCTCTTAGAAATGTCATCGAAAGGGCGTTTGGAGTGTTGAAGATGAAGTGGCGCATATTGTTTAACATCCCGTCGTATCCACCTGAGACACAGACACATATAATAGTTGCATGCATGGCGTTGCACAACTTCATCAGGATCAATGGTGGCTTTGATGGTGACTTTGGTATGCTAGACAGCAATGTAAACTATGCGCCTGTTGAAGCATATGTGGATCAGCCTGAGATAGAGCCTGCTCCAGACAGTGCGGACATGGAAAGCATGAATGCATTCCGAGACAGGCTGGCTCATTATTTGTTTAATAGGTCGTGAATAATCTGAGATTGAGAAGATGTATTTGCTTATGTACTATTCGAATGTCTGTAACAATTTTCGACGGATTTGACTACATTTTACTTGAGTTTTTGAATATGCAATAAAGTGTGTTGAGATTACAGTTCATGCAATTGTGCATGACAAACGTACTGGGGCTTGCAAAATTTCCATCATGACAAGCCACCACACCAGCCACTGGTGGCTGCTGCAATTTCCTGTGCAGAATTTGGGTTGCTGCTGCCTACTCGTGTGCAGAATTTGGCTACACAGTAACTCCAAAGTTTGAAGGTGCAGAATCTGGGAACTAAACAAGGGCCAAATCACCGTCACTGCCAAATCACACGTCGATAGTCAAATTACCGGCTGCTAATCCGCCGCACCATCATGAAATTATTAAGACCGCCATTCCAAGTCAAATGTACATGAGCACACTATGGGCCCCTGTCCTGCGGGCCCCGCTTGCCAGCGAGCGCTTGTCGACCGTTGCAGCCTGGGCAGGACCAGGTCCACGGAGGGACGGACCCGACCGTTGGAGCCCGATCCCTCCCTGGGATTTCAAATCCGCCGTCCGTCCCCGCGCGAGTACTGATCCGACGGTCCTGGAGCCTTCCTTTCGCTCCCCAGCTACCCGATTATCACCACTACTCCCTCTGCAACAGACGAAAGCCTCTCCCTGAATCCCTCCCAGATCAAGAACCCCAGAAGCCCCATCGAGCCCGAAGATTTGGCGAAATTTGAGGGTCTATTTTGCTCCCCAGCGTTGAGGAACTCGATCGTCGATTCGGTGCGCTGGTTCGAGCATCTTCTCTGGGATTCGAGGAGGATTTTCCGAGAAAGTTCGTTTCTTGGATCTCCTGTCTCGAGGAAGGGTGCGCGGTTCGATGCTGAGGCGGAGCAGCGGCTTGCGACACTCAGATCTGGTGTGAGGAGGAGATCAGATGCCGGTCGTGACACGGTCGCGGGTCTCCTCGGCCCGCGGCGACGGCGCGGGCGCGCTGCCGTGGGGCTCGGCGTCGGCGGCGCCGGCTCCGAGGCACGACGCGAGCAAGAGCCGCCACCACCACCACGGGCTCAAGGAGAAGCTCCGCGCGCTCACCCAGGACTACGAGCAGCAGAAGCAGAAGCAGCTGCTTGCCGCGTCGCAGGGCGGAGGGGCCGCCGCGCGGCAGCTCCGCCGCAGCATCCGGTGCCTGAACGCGACCGAGGTGGCCAACGACGAGAACGCCGAGGAGGAGGACGGCAGGGCGGCCAAGCGCCGCTACGACGCCTTCGCTCTGGTCCCCGAGGCCGCGGTGCTGAGGGAGAACGTGGCTCCTCCGCAGGAGCGAGCGCCGTCCAACGACAGCCACGTTGTCGTGCTCGCGCCGCAGGCGAAGGAGAACGTGGTGGGCCGCGGCGCCAACGCCATGTCCTGCCCCATCAAGAAGGCGGTGCCGGCGCTCCCAGTGCTTCCGGCGCCACCGGCGAGGAAACTCTCTCTGGGAGGTGCTGTGGGCGGCAAGGTGAAGGCCGCCGGGGAGGTCGGGGCCGGCACTGCCGAGGCGGCGGAGAGCCGGATCCTCGTGTTCGTGAGGCTGCGCCCGATGTCGAGGAAGGAGAAGGAGGCCGGGTCGAGGAGTTGCGTCAAGATCGTCAACAGGAAGGAGGTGTCCCTCACGGAGTTCGCCTCAGAGAACGACTACCTCCGGCTGAAGCGTGTGCGCGATTCCCAATTCTGCTTCGACTCGGTTTTCCCTGATTCGACGACGCAGGCAGAAGTCTACAGCACCTCGTAAGAGCACAGAAATCCTACACTTACATTAAATGCAAAGGGAGCACCCAATTTTCGACTAGATGCACACATTCCATATTATTGCCTACTCATCTCGATACGGATAAGACAAAAAATTCAGACTAGTACTATTTTTCTTACATGTGAAGATAACAAGCACAATTTGCTATGAAAGAAATCTGCTATGAAAGATAACAAGCAAAATTCAGACTAGATGCACACAAGTTGATAAGATTATGTTGGATTTTCATGTCATGGCAACTATAGTAGTGCTTTGCTTACCTGATGAAGAAAACTCCATGGGGGAAAAAACTCATGTCCTACTTCATGACAGATTTATACTATTGTTTGCTTATTTGATGTAAAAATTCAGGGAAAAAATTTCATTCAAATGTTGCATCCAATTTTCATATTATTGTTTCCTTAGTTATCTTATGATGACAATGAAATTTACTGATGAAACTGTACAAGTTTATGAGATCATACACCAGATAATATCTGCCCATAATTCATTTCTCCATTTCTGGTCCTGCAGAACAGCAGACCTTGTGGAGGGTGTTCTGCAAGGTAGGAATGGGACAGTGTTCTGCTATGGAGCTACAGGGGCTGGTAAGACCTACACCATGCTTGGGACAATGGAAAACCCCGGCGTAATGGTGCTTGCAATACATGATCTTTTCTCCAAGGTGACGCAGAGGAATCACTCAATTAAGCTGTCATACCTCGAGATATACAATGAGACGGTGAGGGATTTGCTGTCTCCTGGTAGCCCCCTTAACCTGAGAGAAGATAAGCAGGTACATGAACTGAAATGCTTGTCCATGTTGTAACTATGGAAAGCAAGTTTTGTTCAGTGAATTTAATTACTATTGTGATTCCTAGCTAGTAGTTAGTTGTAAGTACTGGATATGGTAAAAGATTAACCCTGTTGTAGAAAATCCTCAGTTCAGACAATGGTATGTATGTACTAAATTTAATTATTATCAGTGGATTGAGTAGTCAAATGCATCAGTTCTGAACATATGCCCTTTTTGTACATTTTCTCCACATGTTTTGATAAGCCTCCTTAATAATGCTATTCTAACAAAAAAATATGCGGCATTTCAGGGAACTGTTGCTGCTGGTCTTACCCAAAGAAGTGTATACTCCACAGACGAGGTATGAGTTGTTTCTTGGGCATGATTAGCTTCCAGTGGCTTTCAAGCAAAAATGAGAGGAATCTTCTTAGTTGATTATATATGCTTGTTTTCCAGGTTATGGAATTACTTCAGAACGGCAACAAGAATCGAACAACTGAACCGACTCGAGTAAACGAGACCTCATCACGTTCTCATGCCGTACTGCAGGTAAATCCATACACATACTTAACCTAGGGGAAATAGTTTCTATAGTAAAACCACTCACCACCAACCTTTGGAAATTTATAGGTTGCCGTAGAATATAGATCCTTGGATGGAGTTAACCTAAAAGTCGGAAAACTGTCTCTCATTGATCTTGCTGGATCTGAAAGAGCTCTGGCAACAGATCAACGCACACAGAGGTCGATTGAAGGAGCAAACATTAACCGGTCTCTTCTTGCACTGAGCAGTTGCATTAATGCCCTTGTGGAGGGTAAGAAACACATACCATATCGCAATTCCAAGCTAACCCAACTCTTGAAGGACTCACTTGGAGGATCCTGCAACACCGTCATGATTGCCAACATTAGCCCCTCTCATCTTTCCTTCGGTGAGACACAAAACACGCTTCATTGGGCTGATCGTGCCAAGGAGATAAAAACAAAGGTTTGAGATTGTTAATTTGTGAATAAAACATTGCACACTCTACTAGGTAAAACTCATGACAAAGTGGAATCATCTTATTGTTTTGCAGACCCAAACCACTGTGAATGAGGAGGTTCTGGATCAACCAGATTCTAAAACTATGCTTGTACTGGAGCTTCAGAAGCAAAACAGTGTGCTGAGGGAGCAGTTGGCGAAGCAACAACAGAAAGTACTGATTGCCGAGGCTCAGTTACTTGCTTCAAAAACCTTGCCACAACAATCTCCTGCTCCCTCGTCTCACGTTGCAACTCCAGGCTCAACTTCAAGAAATACCAGACGATCTATCTTGGCTGGGAACCACTTCAACACACTAGACTCCAAGAGGCCTACAGCCGACAACACACAGGTCAGGGAGCTGCAGAGAAAAGTGAAGACATTGGAGTCTGAGATCGAGAAGATGAAAAAGGAGCACATATTACAGCTAAAGAATAAGGACGAGTTCATCCGTGACTTGATCAACAGGAAGGCTCCTAACAACTGTGAAGAAGCAACATGTGATAGAAGAGTTGCCACGAGGGCGAGCCAGCGAAAGGCACAGAGAGACGCATCAGTTGCAAGCGAGCTGAAAAGCCCCAGCCACCGGTTTACATCACCAGCACCAACTGCAAAGAAGCGTACTTTCTCGGACATCGGAGGCAACAGCCCTTCAGTTCTTGCTGCCAATGGAAGAAAGACTCGAAGCCATGTAGCAACAGAGACACCGAAGAAAGGTTCTTCCAAGCTGCTTCAGGTATATGCATATAACTCTTTAGTTCTTGCTTTACACAAGATTAATGGAGGCTTTTGAGTGCTTGTATTAGTTTTTATTGACGCCTCTCATTGCATTTCAATTCCTTGCAGCCAGGATTTGCACGGCAAATATCCAGTCATCGAAACATTTAAGATGCACAGGAGAGACTGCCTACAGTGGATAGAGATGCTCATATTAATTGCAGTTTAGTCGAAATCCATTCTAATGTTTATTTACATTTTTTATTCATATTGAGTTATTGGAACCTTAAACATTTGCTCACGGGAGATACATGAGCTGATTTTTAAATTAACTTGAGGCATAGTTCTCCTTTTCTTCTCTCTTGCTTAAGCTTATTATTTTTTTCCATCTTATTACTGCCTACAACGGACAGAGATGTTCATATTAATTGGAGTTTAGTCAAAATCCATCCTAATGTTTTTTCTTAGTTTTTTTATCCATATTAAGTTACTGGAACTGTAAACATTTGCTCACGGGAGATACATGAGCTGATTTTTAAATTAACTTGAGGCACAGTTTTCCTTTTTTTCTCTCCTGCTTAAACTTATATTTTTTTCCATCTTACTACTAACTGCTATTGAAATCAGAGAGGCAGCAATAATTTTAAGCAGCTTAGGGAATTGGTGTTTTCTATGTGTGCAGTGCCCATTCTTGTCATTTCTGAAGGTTGTCCAAGTGGAGATCATAAACATTTTCAGTATCAACCTGTACACTCAAGTGACCAAGATAATAAAATGAAGGCAAAATTAAAAATAAGATTATTTCAATTGTTCCATGTACAAGTTATTTTTTCTCCATGTACAAGTTTAATTTTATGTTGGGGGTAGTAGCAGACCTCATAGCTTATATGTTAAAAAGTTTATATTATGAACTTTTAAGGGTTTGCAAGCTGCTTCTTTGCGATAACCATATGCTTCGTATGAACATATATCATTAACTAATGCTACACCAATATTTGAAACTACACGTAGCTCCCAATGTCTTCAACAAACAATATATTGTCCTTCCAGACATGCTACGAATTGCAATCAATTCTAGCTCTGATCCTTCCAGCAACAAGGGTTATGGGGCGCTGCAATGCTGGTGCTGTTTTTCTAGTTCATGTTGAACTCCCTCCTCAACATTTGCAGTGTTGGAAGGCCCAGCTTCTTCTGCTGACTTAGACTCATCCAGTTCCATTTCTCCAGAGCTCGTACCACTGCAACTCTCGCTATCATCAGAGCAACTACTGGTACCATCCTCTGAACTAGAAGTATCACTTAGCATGTTGAAAATCGTAATGCTCTCTTTCTGTGAGCTGTGGAACGAATGACTCCTGTACTTGTCATGGTACAGTGGCAAGGAGGAGCCTTGCTGCTCCAAGCTGGGCTCGTCCCTGCCAAGGCTGTATGATTCGTACAGCTTTCTCTCCACGCCTTCCTTGACTTTCACCATTTCACCCAGCTGTCCCAAAGCTTCGTTTGACGAGGCATCTTCAGCTGCCCTCTGCTCGAGCTCCAAGATCTTCTTTCCTAAGATTCTCCTCTTGCTGTGAAGTGAGCGCTGCATTTTCAGGAGATGGAAGTGAGGCCTAGGAGAAGCTATAAAGTCTGAACAATATGAAATTGGAGGATAAGCACAGGTTCCAGTGTGCATACCCTCTTCTCCAGGAACTTCTGCAATCCATTGTCTTGGAGCCTTTTCTTCCTCCAAAAGATGCAGCAAAACAAAATGGCTACAGCTTGTATTACGATTACCACAAGTAGGAAGATCAACAATAGAACATAGCTAGGTTCTCCTAATCGACAGAAGTCATTCAGTCAGTAATGGCGTAATTTTGAAACAAAAGCAGAAGGGGAAGCAGTTGAACTTCACCTGGATCAGCCTGCACAAACTTGGCTTTGGCTTGCCTGCAAATACAAGCAATCTTTTGCCCTAGCAACACAAGGAAGTCAGGACCACATTATGCCGACAAACAAATGTGATGCATAAGATAAACATACTTCTTGTGTAGCACTGCGTGGTGTTGCTGATCCCTGTCTCTAGAAATTTCAGGAGAGGAAGTTGTTGCAGATTAGTTGATTTGGAATATTGTAGTGTCAATTAACTTGAGATGTGTAATTCCAGTATATATACAGGGACGGACCCACAGGGTATGCAGGGTGGGCCACCGCATACCCTGGGGTCCGCCAGTCATAGAGATAGGTAGAAATTTTTAATGTAAAAAAAATAAAAAAAGGAAACGATACATGTATAAGAATTTTTTTACCAAATTATATATGGTTTACCGAATTGCATAAGAAATTTTTTTGCTGTGCATACCCAGTGGTAAAAACCTAGGTCCGTCACTGTATATATATACAAGGACTTACTTGCTGCAGATAGAAGAGTTAGAACAACAGTCTCGTCTATGGTAAAGTCATTCAGATCACTACTGGACAGCAAATTTGATAATTCCCCTGGAAGACAATCAATATCTCATGTGATATTCAATATAACTTTGAAGGAAAAGAATGACATTGCCATTTCAAAATGACTTATATAGGCATAAAAAGGAACAAACCAGGATACTCTCCAGTCCAGTAAACAGTTCCAGTTGCCGGAGCCAACAACGTGAACAAAATGAATGATGGCTTCTTCGCCAATACATAGGTATAATCACCAACTGTCTGGATTAATTTTCCTTCCACTATGGTCTTAGCGACATACATGGAAAATCCTGAGCAGTCAAGGATTGGACCTACATGGATCACTGAATCATTTGCTGTTTTTGCAAGAAACTTTCTCATGTCACCATCAGGAGAAATCGAGTAGAGGGTCCCATCTAGCGAACCAATTGACATCCAACCTGTTACATAAATTGAAAATATTACCGTTACTGAAGTATACAGCAAACTCGAATAGAAAAGGACAGCATATGGCAAACTAGTACATAGGTGTGGTCAAAACTGCTTGAGATAGCAAATTGATGACTTTATAGCAAACAAGAAGAATGGATAACCGACTAGGGTGTAAACTAATTCTTCTAAGAGAATAGTGGAACAGGAAAATACTATTGATACATTGAAATTCATTGAAAATGGTTAAAAAATGAATATGGCCCGGTTTATAATGATATAAGATATTTCTTTACCATTGGAATCGACAGTTGGTAAGTTTTTCTCAATACTGATTGGACCAATATTCTGCGTCCAAGAAATGCTTCCTGTCGAAACATCAATCCCCACCACGATAGACTTCCGTGGAAAGACGATGTATAGGCACGCACTGTTTCCTGGTGCAATTGTCATCACTTTGCCGTGTGAACCCAAGTCTTGGATCCATCTGATCCCACGGTTGTCAACGTATAGGGAATAGAGCTGGCCTTCAGTGTTCGATATCTGTAAGAACATGGTTGTTGCAAAATGAGCTAGTACAGAAAGTGGACAAAACTATGGCAAGTGTAAACCATAATAATATGCACTGGTATGGGCCTTACATAAAGTGCCCCCTCGCACTGATCAAGAACAGGAGCTGAATCGAAATAGCAGCCGGAGACGTTTCTCTTGCAACCAAGATGGTAATCGAACAAATTAAGCGCAGGCCCAACGCTCCATTGGAGCTCGCCATGGAGCGAGAAGGTGAAGAGTCCCCGGTTTCTGATGGTGAGGAAGAGAGACGAGTAGCTGCCACTGATGGCCAGGCCAATGATCTCCTCGGACCTCCCTGACGTCGTGTTGTGGCTGAAGAAAACCTCCAATGCTGGCTCGGCAGTGTGCACGTTCCGTGGCGTGACCTTTATGACCTTGTCCTCTGCCACCAGATACACCTGCAGAACGCACACAAATAATTTGAACAGCCAACAAACACAACTGACCATCAGGCATCACGCTCATCGGCTCATGTTTCCTCGTTAAAATGAAGGAGAAGATACCAGGCTTAGCATTTCATATATGCTAACAATGTGTTATATATACTCAGATCATGCAGAACTTCTGATTTTGAATGATTGGTTACCTGCTCTCCCTCGAATACAGGGCTGATGCTGTCGTTGCACATGTGGCCGAGGGGAACGATCCAGGCGAAGGACCCGTTGGGTTCGAACCCGAGGAGGTACTTCCCGGAGCAGGCGACGAGGCGGCCATCGTGCGCGATGGAAGGGGCCGAGAGGGCACGGGCAGGCCCCGGCGGCGCGCGAGCTGCAAGGGAAACCGTCAGCGTACGGGCACGGCAGAAACGCAGAATCATTCAAGCCATGAGGCCGCCTTACCGTTCTCGGCGCCGCCGCCGGTGTCGAGCTTCTGAAGTGCCCGCGACTCCGATCGTGCCGCACCGATCAGGAAGCACACAAGCAGGCACAAGGACCACATCACTCCCGTGGCCATGGCTTATAGAGCGTACTGCACCCGGAGATGGAAGAACGGACGGGGCAGTTGCTTTGGTCTGGTGCTGTGGCCAACGCGGGGCCGGGGCGGTGAGTCCTGGACGGCGGAGGGCCGGAGAGAGGCGCACGCACGATCCAAATGCGCAAGTGAGGGGGGACGGCAGCCGGGGGCGGAGGACGCCGGGGGCAGCGACCGTGGGCGGCGGAGTCAGGGGGCCGATGCCGGGGCGGCTGCCGGTGCCGGTGCCGGGACGGAGAGCACGGCGCCGGTGGAGGTGGTTGCGCAGGGAATAGACCCACGAGCGGCGCCGTGCGACAGTTTAGGGAGACAAAGAACCGCCGTCTCCTTCTGTAACTGGTGGCCGAGTAAACGAGCGCCTAATCGCATTTGCGCTCTTCGGCCATGTAGTACTACTAGCCGAGCGCTTTTTCTGCGCCAAACTCAGTGAAAATCGAGATTATTAGTGTAAAAAATTAGCTACTCCATAGAAGGTGAAGGCTCTTGTCAGTTGTCAACTTGTGCATGCCCTTCGGAGACATCTGATTAAAAAAATAGAACCACCAATACTGGTCGAATGCATTATAGATTACATACACAGCTGCTAAAACTGAATTGCATAGGCAAAAAATCTAGTTCTTCAAATTTTGTTACCGACACAAGGAATGCCACCACAACAGAGCATCCCCCACCACGTTGTAGGGCGACAGAGTTCTCTAACACATATAACATGGCATGATCTACCACAAACACAGGCACAATCTACTTGAGCAAATTCGCATACTCGTCTTCCAAAAATTTACAACGCAGCATAGAAATAGTTCTGTGGTGACACTAGGTTCAAAACTTTCCAGCCAATCGTCTCCGCATCAATGACAGCCTTGATCTTGGGGGCTTTTCACGTTCGTCCGCGCTGTCTTCACTATCTGAAACGACGACCTTCTCGATGGCAACTGTGTTTTCTTTGGCGGAGGAATTGTCTGAGCAGGAGTCTTTCTGTCCACCAGCGAAGCCAAGAGCCTTGGATTGACTTTTCAGGACTGCTGGTGCCGACAATGGGAGTTCATTGGGTGCCACGGGCTCACCTTTGGGGATTGCTGCTGCTGATGGCAGTTCATTTAGTTTTTGTCGCTTAGAGGATAATTGGGTGGCTTAGACTCCTCTCCACAGGCATTGTCCACTCCAGGCAGCTCAGATTTCAGTGACAGCCTCCTACGTTGCATCTTTAGACCTTGATTGCACTCTTGATTTGATACCATGTTAGTGTTTGACGGTTGCTGTTCAGTGTTAGGATTCTGTTGAACCAGTGCAGGACCTCCGCTGAACTTTTTCCTTGAAACAGCATCTAAGGGTCTTTTCTGCAAATAGCTAAAGCCTGACTGTGAAGACAGATGGTTTGGAGCCATATTTTCATTTTGATTGTCGTTTTTCTTTTCAGGCTTCACTGATTTCAGTGACAACTTCAGTGCCCTGACATTCCTTCGGTTTCCTTCCGGTGCTGTATAGGTACTAGCTGATGATCCACCAATTCTCCTTGCCGAACTATTCTCTAAAATGCCATCAGATGATTGCATGGCGTGGTCTTTAGCAGCAGATGCATATGTTGGAAGATGATTAGGTAACATATCACTGCCATCACTGCTTTTGCAAGAGGCTTCTGAGGTAACAGAAAGATTCTGGCCAGGTAACTGCAAATCCTTTTTATTGCCTTGGTGACCTTTCTTTGAAACCACTCCACTAGCAGTATTGACAGACATGTTCTCTGATGTATCATTCTGTCTGCCTGAAGCATCAGAAAAACAAGCATTAGGATAGGTGGATCCTGCCATGGATGGTAAGTGGCTAGGAACTGGATCTTGCTTGACAGTTTTCATACTCTCTTCAGATCTTCCAGACTTTAGTGATAACTTTTGTCCCAGTAACCGCATCTTCCTTTGACTCCCTTCACAAACTTTTTGAGAAGTATTTGGCAGTGATCCCAGGCTATCTGTGTCCTCCATTTGTGTATTCTGTGCCTAGAATTTCAGAAAGAAGAAAAAAACAACTCTCAATAAAATATAGAGAGTTATATTATAATGTCGGGACACAAAATTAGCAAAACGAAAGTTGAATGCTTGTTTACCAGGACACCAGCATCTACAGAACCCCAACCACTAGCAGCAACAGCAGCAGGACTAGCATACTTCTCTGTCCATAACCGAGCATTTATGTCAAAAACTTGTCCGTTGTATTTGTATTCTCGACTCTGTCTCAGAAAAAAAGAAGAAACATAGTTGGATGATGAGCTCAAGTGCATTATTTATCAGCATACCACTATCATACTGCAACTGTTACTGAAATGTTCTTACTATTTCAGCCATCAACCCATCATCCGGGTTTGGATCACTTAGCAGCAAGCCAATACTTGTCAAAACAGTAGCAATATTGAGTGATGGTTGCCAGGCTCCCTGTGCAACATCATCATCAATGACAAAGACTGCTGTGATTACGAATAAGAGTTTCTGAAATTTCAACTAAATATGAATTTCTGAGATTTCTAAGCTATCATTGAGCATGTGTGCAATTCCTATCGATTACCTTTGGGGGTAAATTCAGAATATCAAGGCAAATGCGTCCTCCATTGTCAATATTGGGATGATAAATGGGAGTAACAAAAGTCACATTGGGTGGTTGAAAAGGATACCTGCGTCTCAACAAAAGTTTGAATATCAGAAATGATATTATAGGGGGATACACATGAGGTTCTCTTCACGTTTTTCAGTTAGGCATAGGGGTTTGGTTTTGATGTCTAAAGAAGATGCACCTTTCAGGAATTTGTATCTTCAGAATGAAAACTCCATTAGCATAAACCGTCCCCTCAGGACCCTCAATTCCTTGATTTAAAGAGTAGGGATCAGCATACAAAGTTACAGTGAAAATTTAGAGATGATTAAAAGTAAATCAAAAATAGTAGAATATAAAGGACATACTGGCTTCAATACTTGATAATGATGATAAGACATTTTCATCTTCAGAAAGATTAAGAGAAACCCCATGGGGTGGATCATCCAGTAGAAGTTTAATCTCTTTCTGCATTCTCAGATTCAGCCTTGCGGCAAAAGCCATTTCGTGGTTGACAGAAAATTCTACCCTGGACCAAAAATTCAGAGTATACTTTTCCTTCAGAACAGTATATTACATGTATGCACTTGTAATTAGATTAGATCAGAACACAAATAACTTAAATTAGGGTTTGGGGGTGCTCGGTTTCCCACAGCAGGTGAACACAAAGCGGCATATCTGATTTTTTAAATACTCTCGGTTAGTAGTAAGGCTCCGTTTGGATGTCTACATTGTACAGCCAAAAGGAGAACACATTACCCAAAATTTGATATGTTAAACTTTACCTTCGCTTGATTGATTACTGCAGAATGCTACTCCCCCTGTGATTCACGTACAGAATCAGAGAAAGGGTCAGCAAGTTTGACCTTGCTGATGTTCTACGGTTAATAAAAATAGGGAAAACCACCATGGGAGGGAGGAGAAAAGGGAAATCCATGAGAGGAAGAGGGGAAGGGAGCAGCCATGGGAGAGGGGTAGTGGATGGGGATATGGGATGTGCTTGAAGGGGCACCATGGGAGGGGAGGTAACGCAGAGGGAGGGGGAAGAAAGGAGTGGACATGCTGCATAGGAGGGGAGGGGGCGCCATAGGAGAGAGGTAGGGAGGGAAGGGGACGCAACCATGGGGGGAGGCAGGTGGGGCGAGATTTTCAGCAGAGGAAGGGGCTCCACTGGAGGGAGAGGATTGTGGCGCCATGGGAGGGATTGAGACAAAGAAGATGGTGGAGTTACCTTCGCCGGCGTCGAGGTCCCTCCGACGACCCGCCGCAGTCTCCGGCGGGCGGCGGCTGCTCGAGAAGGAGCTCACCCAGCGCAGGCGTGTGGAGAAAAAAGGAGGGGAAGGAAGCGAAGGGCGGCGGCGTTTTTAGCCAAAACCGAGGGCGGGAGCTCGGTATTGAGCGCAGGGTCTCTTGGAATTGGGACAGGTTTCAAAAACGTGATTCCGTGAATATCGAAACGCCTGGCATTCGGCTGGCACAATACATCCAAACGGGGTGTCAGCGTATTTTAATTCATTCGACTCTTTCCCCATGGCCCTGTTCGCTTGTCTATTTCAACGAACAAACGGTGTTTTTTTTCTCACAATAAATCAACGAATAGTTCTTTCAACTATGGCTTTTCAGGAGAGTGAACAGAACCATGTCTTTATACTCTTGTAATCTAAAATTGATGCTATTTTAGATTTGTATTGAAATACAATTATGATTTATATTACATCATAAAACCAAATTGCTGGTGTTCGGATATCCGATCGGATACTAATCAGTCGAACGGTACCGCCTGGGCCAATTTGTTTCCCGCCCGCGCCTCCTTTTCGTGCCCACACAGGGGCCCATGCCGCGAGGCCGCTAGCGCCCTCTCCCGCTTCCACGCGCATCACGTGTGCAACATCTAATCTACTTTTGAAACATCCAGATACAACTCTTGCAACATACGTCTGAAGACAGATGAAACACTTAAAACATGCGTCTAAAATACTTGCAAAACACTTGAAAACCATTGTAAATATGAGCAACATTTAGATAAAACACTTGCAACATCCAACATCCAGCGCCCTGTTCGTTTGAGCTTATTCAGCACTTTTTTCAGCCATGGAATAGTATTTTCTCTCACAACATTTCAGCATAAGAATCAACATAAGCTAAATTTTAGCATAAGCGAATAGAGTGCAGATAAACACACTTGCAACCTGCGTCTGAAAAACAAATGAAACCTTGAAGACAGACTCTTGTAACATACTTGTACAACCATTACAATATACAACATCATGATCTACTTTTGCAACATCCGTATGAAAGACTTGCAATGTACCTCTAAAACATCTTAAACCATTTGAAATGTACACTTGCAACATGCATAGTATCCCGGTGCGGCCTCCTCCACCGTCTGCATCGAGACACCGTAGCAGGAGGCGAGGCCGGAGGACTGGCCTGATCGATGCTCCTTGCGTTGGCGAGCAGCGGAGCAGGAGTAGCGCGTGGACCAACGAGGTGGGTGACAGGAGCAACGCAAGGGACAGACGCGGGAGGTCTATTAGGCTGGTCCACATACCCTGCACACAGCATTTCCGTTACATAAATGATGTATTTATAGAGTAAATAAAATATATCATACGTGTTGCAACAAGACTTTTATGAAGAAAATAAAGTTGTTATATGTATGAGTTAGTTTTGCATGCTATTGCATTGGTTAAACTTGGACAAGCTAATGAAAAAATCAAATAAAAAAACTAAAAAGAATATTAAAATGACCCACCATTATTAAGGTACGTGTTTGATTTCACACGTAGACTTGCCTCACTAGCGCAGACTCTAAATTGCTAGACTGAGCTATCTAGCTGTGACAAAGATTTTGCTTGGTAGCACAAGCTCCAAAACAGCTTGCATCTCCACCAAAAACTCATGGGGTTATTTGGTTTGCACTCTAAGAACTTGTGTGGCCAGACAACTGATTCCAGGGCTCTATTTTCGTCCGAATGGGGCCAGCATTGCTGCCCTGCCAAGCAGCATCCAAACAGCACCTCAGTTCTTCTATATATCCTCACCGGGCAAGAAGAGACGAGGTTTGGTAAAGGATCCAAACGGAGCCATGGGCTTGTTCGGCTGGTATTAAAGTCGGCTGAAGCTATTTTATTGTGAGAGAAAATTCTGTAGATTCTAGCTGATAAGCCGGCTGATAAGTTCAAGCGAACAGGCCTATTGTCAGGTTATTTTCCGCATGTATCCGTGCAATGCAGTACATTGGCAGAAACAATTCACGTCTGGATCCAAGTTGCACAGGCCTATTGTCAGGTTATTTTCCGCATGTATCCGTGCAATGCAGTACATTGGCAGAAACAATTCACGTCTGGATCCAAGTTGCACGCAAAGGAACGCTTTTGATTTTACAGTGTTGAGTAATTGCTGAATCTTTTGGTCGGGCGCTGATTCAACTTCACGAGACGGTACCTACTCGATGATGACTTATAAAACGTCAAAACCGTGAAATCTACCAGCGTCGTACAAAAATTTATGGAGTACACATGAGACAACCATTACATAACTTTGATAATTTAGGTTCCCATAAAATGAGCCTGTTCGCTTGGTTGGTTTTAGGCTGATAAGTTTGACTGGTGTTGATTTATTATAAGAAAAAAACATTATTGGCTGACTGATAAACCCTGGCTAAAACCAACGAGCGAACGGTGAATAAAAATAACTGAGATGACACGTTAGTTGGGGCGCCATAAGTGCATATGTAGAGGTAGCTTTAGATACAACCATCTTTAAATAAAAAATAAAGATGCCTTCAAAAATAAATTTTAGTTGTATTAAAACAGAAAACACATGATATATGTATCCACTTGTCATACAAACGTACCCGGTGCTCTCTATGGGATGATAGGTGGACCCATCTTGTTATAATCTTTATAAACCACTCTTTTGACTTAGAGCATTTTAAGAGTTTTTTATAAGGGAAAAGCTAAACAACACTTGGTTGTTTTGTTGTCTCCCGACACCTGATTTGTTGTCCGCTGGATCAAACACGCGTAGCTCCCTCTGCTGTCAGATCTGTCTCCGCGCCTTTTCTTTTGTGTGAGTCTCTATCATGTGTGGTCCACATGTCTATGCTATTTTTTCATATTTTGGGAGTCGTGTCGGATTTGTGGTGCCCGTTTGGTTTTCTTCCCCATTTTCATTTCCTTTGTCTTCCTCCTCGGGCTGTTGTTTCCCGGCGGCAGGGCACATGGCGATTTTCTAGGGTTTGGCGAGGTATGTTGCTTCTGCTACCTTGGGTTTGTAGTAAATCTTCCACCCCGCGTTGTGGTTTATTCTGCTTTGATTCAAGTTTTATTTTGCTTTGTTTCTCTGGTTTTTGGCATTGGTTGAAGCACGGTGGATCCATGGCGGCAATGGCGCCCTTGGTGTTGTTTGATGTGGGGATTTGCTTCCTGGTTCATGGATCCATGGAGCCGGCGCCAATACGACCGCCTCCCCTCCTTTTTCTTGCGTCTCCATGGCCACCTCTGTATCCACCCCGTCTAGGTCACTGCCACGGCCACCTGGCCTCGCACCCGCACGTCTGCTCCGCTCGACACGATGACCACCTAGTCGCCTCACAGCCGCACGTCTGCTCCGGCGATGACGGCAGAACCTCCTAAGAAATCGGGCCCACGTGCACCTATTGATGTCTCAACAGACCTCAGATAGCGTACACAAGTTCCCAACAACTTAACAGGTCCGTCGGGTGTCCTCGGGAAACCCGAATCATCCACGAATCTTTTCCAAACAGGATCCCAATCACAGTCATTACAGATTACAACAGTTTTCAATATACATACCAGAGATTATAAAGCGGAAGACTTAAGTTTTAGTATTACAAACCAGTTGTTTTAAACTTACAAAACCATAAGTGTCATACAACCATAGTAGCGGGATAATATTACATTAACATTATTTATTTCACACAAACTAGTGCCTTGTCTAAAGGCCATTCATCATTCCTCATTGTCATTAACTTCAAACACTGACATGCAGCAAGGACCAAAACAAGCCTGCTCATGCGACTCACCTGCAACAAGGGTTAACAAACCCTGAGTACAAAGGTACTCAACAAGACTGACCCGACGAAAAAGGGGTGAAGGTCTTAGGGATGCAGGTGTTGGGTCAAGGTAAGGATGTAGCAAGATTCAAAAGTTCTTTGCGAAAAGCTTACTATTCTTGATCCTATTTTCGAGTTTTATCCCTAAGTACTTTAGTTCATTATCTCAAACTAAGTGTTCATATCCCATATTCTAATCCTTCTCACTCCATTCCTTTTTCTCATGTTTTAGTAATTCACCAGTCCTGCATTGCTTCTACAATGAATCGAGTCTCCATATCCGTGAAGCACCGGCAATTCAAATTGATTCAAGTCCCAGCTGGGGATTCCTTATCACACGACATATGTAGAACTTAATCTTGCATATATCAACCTCGCTACCGGATCCTCCTATACTAAACCGTCTCCATGCCATCCAAGAGCA